GTATTTTTTCTTCTTAAAGAAGACCTTTTAACATTTCATATAATACTAGTTTAGTTTGGTGGTGATGAACTTCTTTAGATTTTTCTTGTCTGGGAAGCTCTTTATCTGACCTTCAATTCTAAATGATAGCTTTTCTGGATAGAGTAATCTTGGTTGTAGGTCCTTACTTTTCATCCCTTTCTTTTATTTATTTCTTATTATTTTTTTTAATTTAATGCTTTTTAATTTCAGGCCTATTTTTTATTTTTTTAAAAATCTTTATTGTTGAGAATATTACAGATGTTCCCCTTTATTCCCCCACTGCTCCCCTCCACCCAGTCCCTGTCCCACCCCAGGCCTTCACCACCCTATTGTCTGTGTCCATAGGTAATGCATATAAATTCTTTGATTAATCTCTTCCTGCACCCCTTCCCTCTGAGATTCATCAGTCTGTTTCATGATGAATTAGATTCCTTGTTTATTTTTATATTCAGTTGTTGATAGATATGTACTTATTGCCATTTTATTGTTCACATATCTTTCTCCTCCTCCTCCTCTTCCTCCTCCTCCTCCTCCTCCTCCTCCTTTTCCTAACTGCTTTTCTCTTGCTGTTTTTAAGATTCTCTCTTTGTCTTTAACCTTTGTCATTTTAATTATGATGTGTCTTGGTGTGAGACTCTTTGGAATCCTCTTGTTTGAGACTCTCTAATCCTGGACTTATAAGTCTATTTCTTTCACAAGTAGAGGAAATTTTCTGTCAATGTTTCTTTAAATAGGTTTTCAATATCTTGCTCTCTCTCTCTCTTCTTCTTCTGGCACCCCATAATGTGAAGTATGGTACACTTGAAGTTGTCCCAGAGGCTCCTTATACTATCTTCATATTTTTTTATTCTTTTTTCTCTTCTGCTTGGGTGCTTTTGCTTTCTCATATTCCAAATCATTGATTCTCAGAATTCTCTACTCTACTGTTGAATCCCTTTAATTATTCTTTATTTCAGTTAGTGTATGCTTAATTTCTGACTGGTTCTTTTTCATGTCTTTGATGTTCTCATTAAGGTTCTTGAAATTCTCACTAAGATCCTTAAAATTCTCACCAAGTCCCTTGAAGCTCTCATTAAGAACCTTGAACACCCTTATAACCACTGTTTAGAACTCCATATCTAGTAGTTTGCTTGCTTCCATTTCATTTAGTTCTTTTTCTGGAGATTTCTTCTGTTCTTTGCTTTTGATCACTTTCTTTTTTTTTAAATATATTTTATTGATTTTTTTACAGAGAGGAAGGGAGAGGGGGAGGGATAGCGAGTTAGAAACATCGATGAGAGAGAAACATCGATTCAGCTGCCTCTTGCACGCCCCCTACTGGGGATGTGCCCGCAACCCAGGTACATGCCCTTGACCGGAATCGAACCTGGGACTCTTGAGTCCGCAGGCCGACGCTCTATCCGCTGAGCCAAACCAGCTAGGGCTTGATCACTTTCAATATTTCTTGCCAATCCCTTCTGGCCTGAAATGTTTCTGTTGAGAAATCAGCTGACAGTCTATGGGAGCTCACACATTCTGATTGGGTGTTTTTTGCTTCCTTGTATTCCAAATCACTGATTTGATTGTCTGCTTCATCTATTCTACTGTTGATTCACTGTAAATTATTCTTCATTTTAGTTAGTGCATACTTCATTTTGACAGGTTCTTTTTTATGGTCTCCATGTTCTTTTTAACGCTGTTGAAGTTCTCACTAAGTTCATTGAGCATCCTTATAACCAGTGTTTTGAACTCTGTATCTAGTAGACTGCTTGTCTCCATTATGCTTAGTTCTTTTTCTAGAGTTTTGTCCTATTCTTTCATTTGGGATATGTTTCTTTGTCTCCGCACTTGGCAGCCTACTGTGTTTGTTTCTATGTATTAGGTAGAGCTGCTATGTATCCTGAGCTTGGAAGAGTGGTCATATGTAGTAGGTGCTCTGTAGGGCCCAGTGGCATAGGCTCTCCCAATCACCTAAGCTGAGTATTCTGGATGCGACCCCCACCCCGTGTGGGCTGTGTATTCCCTCCTATTATAGTTGAGCCTTGGTTGCTATTAGACCATCAATGGAAGGGATTTACCCCCAGTTCGATTGGCTGCAAGGACTGGCTGTAACCACCGACCACTGTGGAGGATTAAATGTGCAGGGGACTACCCACAGAGCAGGACTTGCTTCAACGGAGTGCTGATGCCTGCTGAGTCTGTCCCTTGAGTGCGTCACTTGTGGAAGTGGTTGGGTGGTGGTCTGAAGCTATCCACCAGGTGTGCTGGCTCTGGGGTCTCCCAGGTGGTACAGGCCAAGTTCAGCTGCAGCTATGCTCTGTTCAGGGCCACCGGCATGAGTTACAAAGTGATCTGCTGATGGCTGTTACTTGTGTTGGGCTTGGAGGTGCCCAGGTGAGGCTAAGTTGTGAACTAACACTGGCTGCTGCTAGTACCAGGTCTGGGGCCACTTAGCCAGAGTACAGGGCATACTGAGGCCAGATGCTGCTGCTTGTTTGAGAGATTTTAGAAAAGTCTGAAACATGAGCCAAGACAGGCCATTTGTATGGAAAAGCCACTCGAAACATTTTGGATGGGCCTGGAAGCAAGGTGGGGTTGGGTCTCATGGAATCGCCAGGATGAGGGGTGTCTCTGAAAAGGAACAATGGCCTCTGCCTGCACTTTTGTCTGACAGAAAGCTGCCACCCTGAGCTCTTGCCCTGATGTAAGACAATTCAGTTCCTCCCTGTATGTCCCTGTTAGCTTTCTAGCTGCTGTCCCAGCACTGGAGCTCAGAGAGTGTGAGTCCAAGTCCGTGTGCCGGTCCTGTAAGAGGAACTGCCTAGAACTCCAGAAGCCCTCTGTCTCCCTCAGCCACAATCCCTGCTGGTTTTTACAGCCAGAAGTTATGGGGACTTCTCTTCCTGGCACTGGAACCCTGGCCTGCTGTGGGGCTAGGACCCCTGGTTTCTCAGGAGGAACCTCTGCAGCTGAAATATCCTTCTGAATTTTTATAGACCACATGTGGGTGTGGAACCAGCCTGTTCTGCATCTCCATCCCTCCTACTAGTCTCAATGTGGCTTCTTCTTTAAATCCCTAGTTGTAGGACGTCCATTCAGCCAGATTGCAGGCAGTTATGAATGATGGTTGTTCTGTAGTTGTAATTTTGATGTGGTTGTGAGAGGATTCAAGTACCACATTTACCTACATCACCATCTTGACCAGAACTTCTGCTTTTTTTTTTTTTAAAGAGTAGCTTGATAAGAAGTCTTTCTTTTGTTCTCCAGTAGGTGACACTGAAGCACAAATTTTTAAATTTCTCTTGCGTTGCTTTGGTTTGTCGGATCTCTGCTAGATGGTGGAAAATGTCTTCTATTCCCTGGGAAGCTGAGCTTCTCCTCTGTGGCCAGGTCACCTCAGTTTCAGGGTTCCGCACCCATGGGGCAACATCGTCAGGGATCAGGTTCCAGGCCTGTGAAATCCCAGTGCTGTTCTCTGCAGAGATGGGTGGGGGTGGGCAAGTTGGGAGAGGCCTATTGGTGTGTTTGTAGATTTGTTCTCTTCCCAGTAATGGTGACTGCTAGACCTCAGCTGCCTCAGCTTCGTGTCTTCGCCCCTGTCATTGCGATTAGTTGCAGAGTGCACCTGCTGCTCAGGGGGAACTGTTTCTGTCTCTCCAGTTCTCAGGGCGGCAGATAACATGCTCTGTAGCTCAACAATCGCGGCTACAGCTCCTCCTGGGGCCTGCGGCTAGTCTGGGAGGGAGGGTGAGGGGAGCCAGCCTGGCTCCGTGGCTTTGTTTTTCTGCTTGTAGTGGCAGACACCATACAACCATGGCGGCACCTCCACACCATCTCTGCCCAGGTTACTGGGTTCAGGTGCAGCCTATACCAACCACTGCATTAGGCATGCTCACCTCACTGCATCTCTGCTCCTCTGGACTGCAGATGGCAACCTGATTCCTCCCTCTCCCGAGACCTGCGGGGGGCGATGGGCTGCATCTGTGGCACCCGTTTCTGCTCTTCTCCTTTCCCACCCCACCTGCTCCCTCTGAGTCGCCTGCCTTCAGATGTTTCAATGTGAGGATCTCTCAGGTGTGTTTGTATATGAGCAGGGAATCCTTTATTGAATTATAGCTGTTCAACTTGTAACTTCAAAGTAAAGTAAGAGACCAGAGTAACCTTTCTCATTGCCTCTGATGTCACTCCTCTGTTCTTTCATGTTTTAAGTTTCCTATGTTCTGGACTCAAATATAATGGTTAAAAAACCTTTTCTGGCCCGGCCGGCGTGGCTTAGTGGTTGAGCGTTGACCTGTGAACCAGGAGGTCACGGTTCGATTCCCGTTCAGGGCACATGCCTGGGTTGCGGGCTTGATCCCCAGGTTGGGACGTGCAGGAGGCAGCCAATCGATAATTCCCTCTCATCAATGATGTTTCTATCTCTCTAACCCTTTCCCTTCCTGTC